GCCCAAGGCGGAAAGACTTTATCTGCGGCGGAAGCTAATTGAATCGGTGCGTCTGGTCGTCCTTATTGCACCGAATCGTCGACTCATTCTTCTTTTCAAGCAGGCAGGGAAGCGCCAGAGCCGCTGGTTAGCAGCGTCGACACGCAGACTCTTGCCAAGTGCTATACTCCTTCCACAACAGCCTCCCGCTCCTCCACGTCCGCGCAGGCACCAGCCCCCGCTACTCCCGCCATTTGCGAGGGCAGAACCCGCTTCGACGACACCTTTTTCGGTGCCTTCTCGCAAGTCACATGCGACACCGTCATGCTGTCCACATCCGACTTTGAATCTCTCCTCGTGCATTACCTACGCCTATATCGACTGGATATCGTGGTGCATTACACACCACCTGTGCCATGCAATTCTTTCCGGGCGCCACGATGGTCCAGAAGGGCTTCGTTGACGCCGTTTTTGACAACGGCCACACTTGGACCGGAATTGGATGTACATCCGTACTGCAAGCTACGACCACTCGAAATTACGTATCTACGCATGCCCGTGCATGTACCCTCAGGATTGGGAAGGTTTTCGAATTCGCTTTGGCACCGCGTTCAACCTCTGCGGGTGGTTTTGGCCCCATCCATTCCATAATGATTTTCGCTACTTCTCGGTCTATGCCCGTCGACACCTTACCGACTCCCCCTACTATAGCTTCCGTATGCTCTTGATGTTTCTACTGCTCTTACAATCTCGATCCCCCCACTTTCGCTCTCGCCGTCATTACCTTCACTATGCATACATCGGACTCCGCCTTATTACCTTCACATATCTTGAATCGGTCCCGGCGCTCGAGGCAACTTGTCCGCGGACCACAATGGAGAAGAACAACGGAGGACTGGTGTTTATACTGATGCCTGCGAACGTCTTCGTGGTCGAAGCTCGACTGCCATTCCAGACGAACTTGAAGCACTGGCCAGTCTGAACGGTCTGTGCGATCTCCATAGTTGCCTGTCGATTGTTTCAAGTCCTCGGCCGTCGGAAGGGTGCTTCTTGCCTTTGTTGGACTCATTGCAACTGACCGTGACCTTGATGAGCAACTTTGGTATTCTAGATCTGGCAACACCTCCTCGTCTACAACCAGCATGCTGGTATTCTTGCCCTTCATCCTGTTGTAAAGCATCCGCAAGAGCTTCTGCGTTGTCGGCTCGGGCAGTTCCCGACCAACTACAACCGCCGAGACGCTGCGCTGCTCGACTAGGACAGGCAACAAGAAGCTGTTTTTGTTCGGCAAGTGAGAGAAGAGTCAGCGCCAGAAAGAGGCGAGTGCTATGATTTCATTTGAAGTACTTTCGAAGACAATAAATAAGCATGAATACACCACAGTACTGACAGGGCAAATAAGCAGATAATCACTCCCAATCTTCCTCGTAGGAAGAAACAACATTCGTGGGGGGCGATCGCACCAGTGGCGGGCCGAATATAACGTCCTGCAGCCTGCCCATTTGTTGTCAGCTCGCATCTCGCAGCAAGAAGCCGATTACATACTGGAGTTCCCTGACTTTCCTTTGCGCGCTCCACAACGACATTCTCCTCTCTGTTTGCGACGACCACGACAGCTTCTGCGCCCGCCGACTACGCTTGAGCGCCGTTCACCACCACTCTTGGCGGCTTTGCTTTCCGATGTCGATAGCGAAGTCGGCTGGTTTTGGAAGAGGGGGGACGAAAAGGCAAACGAGGGCGGGGGAACCTGGATGAAAGGAAGACACGAGCGGACAAGATATGCTTGATAGGGCTTGTAAGCCCGATATCTTGGGGAAAGGCGGTAGAGACGACTTTCGAGTGGGAGATAGGGCTATTTGGGTGGGAGGAGGGCGTTGTTTGGGTCAGGAAGCGCTCGAAAACGACATTGAAGGTGACTGAGGCGGCGAAAACCCTGTTCACGAAGGACGGATGGGTGTGTGTGTGGGCTCGTCAGGAGTGTGAGCGTAGATGCATAGCCAGGCTGCACGCTTTTGTGCGCGGGGCGCTAAGAAGAGGGAGTATAATCGAGTCCTGAAGTCGCAATGAGCAATCGGCAAAGGGAGGAAAGCTCGGTCAACGCACTGGTGTCTGCAGATTGCCATCCACATGCATCCTCCATCCTTGAAGTTTCCTCTCCGCGAACGACCATCCTCAGTAGTAGATCCTTCGTATCCGTCGTTGGCGCGTTTTGGACCAGAGAGGGGTTGCCTGTGCGGGGGGGTGCGGCGGCTGTAGTGCTGAAGCTTTCAGCTCTGCGATACTAGTCACTTCAAGGAGAAAGCTACATGAAAAGTTAGTAGAGCGGGTGCAGGAGGAACGGAGCAGACGCGCCAGCATCTGCGGGAGGATACAGTTGCTAAAGACGAGAGAACGATGCTGGGGGGACAAGACGGCAATAACGGGATGGTGGTACGGAAGAGAGAGGAAAAAGTGTGATCGATCACACTTTTTCCTCTATCACAGTCACATTTTACAAGCACACCGGATTAGGCAAAATATATCTGCTGAAACGGTCGCTGAAATTGTCGGGGAAAACCGGAAGCAACCCGATTGGAGCGGCTGAGCGGGCCGAATGCGCCGTTCCAATCGGGTCCCTTCCGGCTTTCCCCGACTGTTTCAGCGACCGTTTCAGCTCGGTTTCAACAAGGTGATATATTTTGCCTAATTCGGTGTGCTTGCTAAGCCTTGCTTTACTCGCTCATCTTCGGTTATCTTCATCGATGCACCGCTGCCTGGAGACCCCCGAAATTGCGCTACAGGTAGTGGCTGAACAACAGCTGTTCAAGCTCCGCTGGGAAGCGGTTGCGGATATTGTGGAGCAGAGTGGAGACACGAGCGAGGCGAAAGGGGATTGGTAATTGAATGCGAGCCATAGCTATCAGTACCTGAATACTAGGAAATCTCTGACAAATATTAGTTCCAAGGGTTCCCTAATACTCATTCCCCGTGCCCAACCCGAAGAAGAGGTCGCGTACTACGAGCATGCATTATGGATATCAAAGAAAGTGAGTCGGATTTATGTAACTAGGGCTGCGTCGGGCAAGATGGCCAAATATTGACTCCACAGACTCTCTCGCTTGAGGAGAACGTGAATACTTATTCACGAGCTGGATGAAACCCATGAACGCAAAGAGACTGCCAGTGTTATATCAGCACAAGTTTATTCAAAAGATCTAAGTGGTCGCTTGTAATTTCTCGGGGAGCGTTGTCGTTAGAGACAGTCCAGCCGCTTGATTGTGCTGCCGAGCCCAGAATTCTACATCCGCGAACGTAGAGTAGTGTAATCGTATACAAAAGTAAAAGCAAGAATGTAGGAGTGAACGACATGAATAACAAAAGGCAGTAAAAGCAGCAAAGGAAGCGGCTGACTTGACTCCCATGAGTTGCAGTAGCGCCAGCGGCTCCAAATTTCCTCGGAAGACGCTGCCTCCTACCGCAATAACTCATCCCGCGTCTGCCGCTCGAAAGGAAGAAACGATCCAGTCGACGATAATGTCTTCGCCAATCTTGCGCAAACATGTCTCCAACATGTAGGACGAGGTACACATATTTCGGGTATATCCATCGTCCTCAGCAAATGCTACACCGGCTCCTCGTCGATGTATGACGGCGATACGCGTTATCGGCACGGAGGGAGTGGTGAAGAAGGATGGAGGGCGGGGGAAAGCACAGAGGACAGAGGGGGTGTGTATGGAGAGGGTGGACAGAGGGTGTGTCTGGAAAGCGATGGAGAAGGCATAGACGAGTATTTGTATTGCTTTTGGCTGTCGAAAGAGGAAGGAGTCGAGAGAGAAAGGGAGGGAAGTGGGTGTAGCCTGTGTCTGTGGCCTTGCCGCAGGACAAACAGGTGTAAAACTACCAACGATAGTCTTACCAGCTGACCAGCGACACGATGAAAAGACACGCACGATTAGACCTGATGACCACAGCTGTTTGAGGCCCTATTTTCTCGTAGGGAGTTTACGACCGCCACGATATTGGGTCTGTAAAAGAGACAAGTTTGAGGCCGGCTTCTTCACCATCCAGCTCAATTCTTCCGTTCCTCCGCCTCCGCGATTCCTCGTGCATCGTCTGTGAACGTCAAAGACTGTGAGACGGCGGCTGCATATTCTCGTTAGTCGAATTCGCTGGCGGAAAGCTTGAAACGGACCTGACAGCGGCTTTTGCTCCTTCTCCAACCGGAGAATGGATACTGGGACGGGTGGGAGTCCGACTTGAAGCGCGAGGAGGGAGTAAGAGGAATAGGGCAAAAACGGAGCTAAAAGACTGCGTCAAACACAAGAAATGGGCGGTAGCTCGAGATACGCACTCGAGACCTCGATCTGATTCGTTTACAACAGCAGCGCCCGTCGCGAATGGATTCAGAAGAGCTCGGGGACATCTTCTTGCTGGAGAGGCTGACCTCGCCCGCCAAACTCGAAGAACAAGCGGGGAGTGAAAAACACGGCTTTCGGGGTGGTGAGGGCGTGAGTTTGGAGTAGATATGCGGTGTTGGGCGTGAATGAGTGGGGGCTATCTAGAGAGGCGGCGTAAGTGACGACGAAAGGGGGAGAAGATAGAGGATTTGGGCCACGCACCTAGGGCCAGCAGAAGAGCAGCTCCTCGTCGACTATGGTGTTTCCCTGCCCTCCAGAAGACCGGTACAGTGTGCGAGCTTGCGAGCAATCGAGTCAAGACGGCTGGTCCAGCGATCAGCACGAGTTTTGTAAGTGAAACTATTCACGCGCACCAAGTACATAAGCGCTGAATTTCTTCTCATGGGTCGCCTCAGACGTTGGCGTTCGTTGTGTCCGAGTTGAGCGAGATGGAATGGGAGAGGATGGCGAGACGCGGCATGGCGGAGAAGACGAAGAAGAGTGGTTGTCACGTCACAACGGATTCCTCTCTTTCCTCCCACTTTCGGGCCGAGCAAAACAACCAAACACGCTGCATACACAGACATACATGCTGCCTACACGAGTTGGCTACTCACAGACGCCTCTTCTCTCCTGCCCTCATCGATGGCGCTCGTCAGAGACTCCCCCGATACCTGGACGGCCAACGGCGTCGAATCCACTTTCCGTGTCAGCTTCGACAAGGACTCCTCGCCCACTGGGACGACCGATGTCTGCGGCTGGGGCTGGCGATTCAAGTGGGACAGCTCGTATGGTCCCATTGCTGTCTACTTCGACCCGTACCTTGTCGCGAACGCGGAGTACGGACGCGTATCGTGCACTGCCAATGTCGTAGCAACAGGACTGTCGAAGTATGGCTTGGATTACTCTTTGCGGACGTTCTCCTTCAACCTCCCCTTGAGTCGCTTCATCTCCGAGTCCCCATCTACAGAGCCTCCTCAAAACACTCAGAATTCGGCGCTTATCGGCTCTTGAGGCTTACCATATCCTTTGAGGCTACCTTCGCGCTCACGCCTCCCCAGCCTGTCACCATCCAGACCCGCCTCCCGTTCTCTGACGAGCCCCTCCCAACACGCGTCCGCGCCGCTCTTGTCGACACGATCCATGGCGGCGAGCTCATCGATGTCAAGTTCTGGGCATATTCGCGCGCGCGGAACGGCTACGTCTGTGCTCCCCGTCCGCTCTACGGAAACCTCAGGCTCATGCGCGGGACTTCGAAACAGTTCGATGAAGGTACTTGTGCGCTCATCTTTTTTTTGTGCTGATAGAGTTGAATGTCCAGATCTTGACGACATGTTCAGCGGGTTTTCCGAATCTGGGCAGACGGATATCACGAATGATCAGGCTCCCGAGGACGCGTTTGATGGGTACGACTACATGTCCGACAGTGACCTCGAGGACGGCGAGGAATTCGATGGCGAAATGGAATCCGGTAAGCGAGCCGTCGTCCTCTCTCCCCATTACTTAGACGAAACATGACTAGATGAGAAAGAGCCGCCCTTCGCCGGACCAAGCACACAGCGCTCGACACCGCCTGATGTTATCGCTCAACAAGAGCTTCAGGGGCGTCGATCATCAAGGGACATGCTTACAACACGTGAGTCGTCTTTTTATTGAGGGCCGTTGAATTGACACAGGCGCATAGTTGGAAAGCGTTGATATATTACCTCTACACAGGCAAGATACATTTCCGTAAGGTCGGCGGCAGACTTTCGCGTTTCGACTTGAGTTACCGGTACCCGAGGGAAGACGGGGCACCAGAATGCTCAGCGAAGTCAATGTACAAACTCGCGGACAAGGTGAGGCAGCTGTCAGTCTGATGATACCTGCTGAGAATCCACCAATAGCATGGCCTTGCGGAACTTAAACTGCTCGCGTTCGAGGCGATCCGTGCGCGGCTGTCCATCGACACCATCGTGCACGAACTATTCTCCAACTTCACTGCCCTGTACGCCTCTTTTCTTCTGCTGCAGCCGACTGACCGGCGCTGCAGGTTTGACGAAGTCAAAACAATGCAAGTCGCTTTTCTCCGCGCAAACTTGGATAAGCCCGCCGTGCGCGAGGCGATGGCAAGCAAGCTGCTGTTCTTCTGCGCGGGAGCGCGGCTCGTCGGCGTCCGCGGCGGTGCTCCAGGACGTCATATTTGGTCCGCCAGCTCCTGCTAGAGCGCAATCACCCGCAAAGTTTGAGGAGAAAGAGTGGTATGACTAGCATTACTTATGCCAATTTCGCACGGGTAGTTCTTGAAAGTACTCGACATGCCCCGCTTCTCCCTTCAGGCTTCAGCCTGTCAGGTCCCCGAGTACTTGTTCGTGGAGAGAGTCGAGTTAGCGGGTAGTCGTTATCGAGCAGCGGAGGCGCGTATACGGGCGGTACATAGTCCATTGTGGCCGGCTCGGAGTCACCGTAGTAAGAGTAAGAGGACATCTGAGGGAAAAACGGTCAGCGCTCAGGCTGGCAATTTACAAACAGAAAGTTGACAGCAAACCAGGCTCGGACGCACCTGAATATCATATACCAGCTCTACCCTTCTCTCGTCGTAGCTTGCAGACCACTACGGTTGCGCTAGCGTCCCGCGACAGCAGGCTCGGCCTGCTAGACAGAAAGCAGAAACTAGTGGATTGCTGGCTTTGGCCTCAGGCCAAAAAGCCATGGCTTTCTGGCCCGGCTTTGGCTTGGCTCGGCCCGGGCTTGGCTTTGGCAAAATGGCTTTTCCCAATTAGGAAGTGGTCGGGAAATAGCCATATTTGCTGTACATTTGTGTCATATTTCTAAAGTAACCAATACTAGGACTGATCTGGTCAATTTTGGTAGTCAACAGGTGATTCCTTGGCACCAGAGGTCGCGTCAATTTCCTGGGAACTCTGGGTGATGACATCAAAGTCACAGTCACATTCATCCTCGACCTTCAAAAGGCACATTAAAGACATGGGAGTAAATAATTGGCCAGAGTGTGAGCTCTAGGATGTAGTCTTGATATCCTCAACCACCAATTCTATCCCAAATATGTACCTTCAATTCCGCGATCCATCAAATGCTGTGCAAAGCCATGGCCCAGGCCCCAAGCCAGTGGCTTTGGCTCGGCTTTGGCTTTTCCTGGCTTGGCCTTGGCTTGGGCCAAAGCCAAGGCCAGCAATTCACTAGCAGAAACGGAGGCGGCCCTGATGCTGGGCAGGACTGCAGCAACTCAGCGTTGACAACATAATGGAAGGGACTTTATAACCCACCGGGGCGTGAGTGTGCCTCATGCGCGCAGCCTACGAGGGCCCGGGAGGACCGGACTGCAAGCCAGAGTGGCGGAGGCCGACGGTCACGCGCCGCGCCACCCCGGAGTCCGGACCCGTAGTCCCTCTCGTCCAGACGGTCGTGCCGCACAGCAGTTTGTCCCGCGCTGGTAGCGGGCGCGGTCAAGGCGCCGCAGGCACATGGCGGGCGAGACGAAGAAGACGTTGATCGATCGATCGGCGTAAACGTGTGACAGCGCGTCCGATGATCGCTCCTTCTTCCTATAACATCTTTTTTCATTGTTTAATAGTGCAATGAGGTTTTTTGCTCTTTGTGAGCTTGTTGGGTGGTGTTTCTGACTGATTTTGAGGTGGTTGAGATGTGCTTTTGTCCAGAAGTGAAGGTTTGTGTTTTCAACTGTGAGCTTTGTTTTTCCTGGATTGAGGTTTGAGTGATGTGTCTTGAGGTTAGCAGATGGTGGTTTGTGGTTTGAGGTTGAGGTTGTCTGACAGGGATTGTCATCAGATGACAATACATCATGATCAGACCATGATTAGACCATGATTGACAATGATCTGTTCAATATATCATTGCTGATATTTATGCAGGAAGCTCACCTATTCTGAATGAGTTTAGACCTAGACTGAAAGAAGTAACTAAAATTAATTTAGTAAGTAATGTACAGATCTGTTGAGTATAACTCACAATTACTATTGAAGGCAACAATACTATAAAAGGGCATCTCTTTATTCATTGTTAAAAAAAGGATTCAGAAAGACCTTATGGATGGGACAGCCTTCTGAACAGCAAAAATGAAATTAGCCCAGTAATTAGACCCAGGGATCCAATAACATTTATTACCAATTCACTGACACTTTTTTTATGTTAGTTTGCAGTTAGGTTTCTGGATGTGTGATCTTTCATACCAGATAGAACTCTTTCTACTCATCACCTATTGTGAGAGCAACCCTGGAGGCTCTGACCTAAGTCTGGCAGGAGAGGATCCAAAGAGAAGAATCTATATAGTGCATGCTGAGAATACAACAAAGTAGGACTCTCAAAATACAATCAGGGGCATTGCCACTAGTATCAGGTTGGCCAGTAGACACTTGATCACAGGTTCTACACTATGTTCAATAGGGTCAACCCAAAGTGATCATTCCTGACACTTGTTCCTACTAGGAGTAATGTATGAACCACCATATATGATAGATAATATATGATATTCATCAGAAGTAGGGCTAACTCAGACTAGAATTAGTACTAAGACTGAGTACATGGACTGAGAAAATAGCTGTGATCATCCACCTTACTATAGTTGAATATTCTATGACTATAATATAGTATAGTCATAATATAATATAATATATTCAAACATAACCATATTCAAGTGATCTACTAAGGGCATAATATTCTGAATATATTCATAATATTCTGAATATATTCAATATTTAATCAACCATAATATAATTCTGGCCAGCACTAATTATGATTAGTTAGATTTTACAGCTTTTGTTACCAATTCAGGGCTTTAACAGCACAGTATGCCAGTGACCCTCAAAATGGCAGTGTGGAGTAAATGAATTACTAAGGCCAGTGCTCCAATACAATATGGTTATGGCACCATATTATGGCTGGCTATATGTGTATATTATTATGGTGATGGCCAATAGCCCTAATTGTTTCTCACACTTCCAAATCAGAAAATATTCATTAATTTTCCCTTAATTACCTCTCCATTACCTATGGTGTACTAAAAGCAAATCTAGCCTTAACTATATTGGAATATCATATGTAAATGTTCAATCCTGAGAATTTTAAAGAGTTGAGTGATGCTCATTTGACCATACTAGTAGCAATCACAACAATCTAAGGTTGTAGCATCAAGCCTGAGAATATGAAGAGCTTGTTACTTTGATATACTTTTATAATCCTCAACCTGACTAACTGGATCTATATAGTTAAGCCTAGATATCATAGTAGGGTTCTGTGAGGACTAATTTATAATAATAGCAAAAATAATCTTATACCTAACTAGTTGTTTATATGAGATTTCATCTTAAATCTAAGCAATTCAAGTTCAGTATCTTACTAGCATTTATGAGATATTTTTTTACAATAATAACTTTTGCTGATATACTCGAGCCCAAATATGAGTACCATACCTACCATGACAATGACAATACTCTTAAATCTGACTAACTTTTTATATTATTAAGCCTAGATGCAATAAGAGGGCTTTACTGTAATTCACCACTAGTACTGATAAGGGCAACAACAATCTTGGTTTCAAAAAAAGATCTTGTGATGCTGGTACTTGTCGAGGAAGAGGGTAGGTTGTGCCTTTTGCTATTGTATCAACATGTCAATATCTTGCTAACTAAGCATGCTTAGTCTCCCATATTTGATAGCTGGAATGTTGGCTACATCACCATTGATGCGTCTCGAGCACCAGCACAAGTGATAGTGTGTGTGTTGACATATTGCCAAACTCAGTGTTTTCATGGCAAGAGTGTTGGTCCCAGTTGACTAATTGGACAACAACACAATAGGCACTATTCTTGATGTGTCTAAACCCCATGGGTGGACAAAAAGAGGATAGGTGTGTGTATTGCAGTGATGGTCAGACACTACTTGTAATTTATTCTCTGTTTATCAACTCAGGCATCACATAATATATATTTGAAATGCTATCATTTATCAAAATAGCAATAAGTGACTAGATTATAATCATGATAATTTTGAATCTAACTACATGAACTTCCATAATTGAATATTCATAGAAGTGATATTTGCAAGTTATCTGTTTCCTTATACAGGTTATTAATTGCTCCAGACTTGAAAAGTTTCAAGCAATTGGCTTTGACTTGGAACAGTCATAGTATCACATGAAAACTTATGCCAGCAGACCATGGGAACCTTTGAGCTATCACATACCCAGTTGGTATTTTAGTTGTTATGAATCTCATATGTCAAGCTCAGCATGTTATACAAAATTTCCCCCTCCCTATGTCACACTGGTTTTGCAAATTTGGGATTACAAAACGGTAATTTTGTGATTTCTTTCAGTATCTCTGGTGCTAAGAATTTCCTGATAAGATTCTATGAATTGAGTTTTTGAGTTTTTATATAAAAACTCAATTCATTTTTAAAACATAAAAAACTTAATTCAGTTTTACCCATGCTGACTGATTCTCTACTGACTCACTTGGAATATGATATAACAATGTACAACCAGCAGATAAACCCAATAGATGGTCAGTGTATGGCATTATTTGCCTTAACACACAGATCCCTTACAGGAGTGTAATTGCAAACTATTCTTACTCACTTTGATCCCATCACATCTCAGATCAACCGGAATTTCAACATAAAATAGTACTATATAGTGCTGGATCATGATCAGACAATAGTCAAATGGTGATCTGACTATG